GCAATCACACAAGTACAATGATACTTGTAGGCAAGCATTAATAAGCAATAGTTGCCTATGAATGATGAATGAAGGAATTTAAGTGACTAATAGAATTCAACCAACCAATTAATAGGTAGGAGTGAATGACTCTTAAGTACAATAAATCTGCAACGTATACAAGCTCTTACAAACTTCTGTAAGGATTTGTTCATGCATACAACAACTGACCTACATGTTAAATGCGTGATGATAGAAGTCTTACAATTCATACAATGCTCTCATTTGCAAATGATAATGAAAGGCATACAAATGAACACGATAGCTCACTAATCAGCATGTATGAGGAGTTTAGTGGTGAATGCAACGACAACATGTAGCCAATACCAGTACACAAACATGCATATCAAATCTTGCAAGCATTGAAAGACATGGCATGATAGTCGTAATAAGTATTAGTAGCATGTTTATATATGAAGTATGAAGAATTTACCAGCGGGTGTAATTGCATGCTTATAGTCAACATCGACCAACATACGAATGGGTACTCCAATTTCCTATGAATGCAATGCCAATGTGCAATGAGGATAATGACTCACCATCCAACATGTACAAATAAATTAGCAACATACGTAGTTTGATTGGCAGGCAACACAAGTTTACAAATGAGCACATAAAGTTATATATGAGCAATGTTTATAGATATGTTGCAGAAGGACTAGAACAAATGTAGGCACCTATGAGCTGCTGTATGAGACCCATCATGAGTTCAACATATCATTTATAAGAAAATACATGAGGAATGGTTGTAAATGCGAACACCTACAAGCAGCATTAGAAGATTTGCATTCAACACAGCTTACTCACAACAGCTGAGGGTTTGTAATGCATATAACAATCCTATCTACAAGTAATGATGAAGAATTTACCACCAATATGATGGATCTTCCACATGCATGAGATAGGAGATCATGGTGAATGTAAATGCCTTCTAGCAATACTGGAAGATTTGCCATATGCATAATAATATACTTGCAGGCAATATCAATGATAGACAGTGAGTGCAATAATGCCCTATAGTCAACAGTCATTCAACAGTAGGCAAATGCATTGATCCCTCGCAAGTAAGGATCAAGTGATCAATATGCAATGCTCATATCAATAGTACCCTGTAATTAGAAGGTGCATGAATAATGACTTGCTAACCAACATAGGAACCCGTGATGAATGCATCTCAATTGGTAACCTATGTCAGCATGCTAACATACTAATCTTGCTTGCAAATGATAAAATTCCGTGTGAATGTCCACTGGCAATGGTGATTGTCGATATTGCAAAGATGCTGAATCCCCTATGTATATAGATACACACACAACATGATATTTGCGAGCGAGAGCTGAAGATCGCAACAAGTACAGGAGGACTATAACAAATGCAAGCTCCTATGAGTCTTTGTAGGAGGCCTGTCACGTGTACAACATGATATCTACAAGCAAATACAAGAATGATTGCAATAGCTGCGAACACCCATTTGTAATGACAGAAACTTTGCCATATGCACAATAATTTACATGCGGGTGGTGATCAACATGTTGTGGATCTTGCAACCCCCTACGATCAACTACCATTCAAATGGCCAGTAAATACGTTGATCCATTGCAAGCAGGGGAGGACGATATGCGTCGTAGGAGACCTATCACGTACACAAAGTGCTATACTCGAGTAAATACAGAAGATTTTCAACAAGTGCAAGCTTCTATGAGTCATAGCAAGAGGTTCATTAGTGTACGACAACCTACATATATAAAGCAATGGGCAACCCATAGCCACCAGATCTGCAACATTTATACAAGCGGACAAAAGGCATTTACGGGTTTCTACATAAAGTGTTGTGCACATCTAAATGCTAATCATTTGCACAGCTGATCAGCACTAAATATTTTAGATGCCCTCACACGTGCATTGCAACATGTATACATACAAAGATGAAAGTACACACGCAAGTACATTAATCTGTATACATGTAAGAATATACACTTGCATAGGCCCCAACGAGCGTGTTATAACTACACACGTGACGCCTGAGGATGTTATGCTGGTCAAAATATGAACTTAGGTTCGGGCTCGATCCTCCTATATGAATAGATAGGAGTCGACACAACTCGAACTATCAAAAAATATACAGTTGCGACATCAACCAGGACATTTATTTTATACCTTCATATTAGACCTTCAAGACCTATTATAAGAAAAATTCATTAATAAATGACATAAAGCCAACAATGAACCTGATCATTTGTCAGCAATTAGACAGTCGACAAGGTTTGATAGGTAATTATAAAATACTCCCTAAATATCCGCATGGGCCCTGACGAGCGTGTTACAGGTACACATGTGATGTCTCAGGATGCTGTGCCGATCAAATGATAAATCCAAGTTCAAGCCCGATCCTTCTATGCGAGTAGATATGAGTCAACATGGCTTGAATTATCAAACAAATATACGGTCACGGCGTCGTCCGAGATATTTATTTTAATATGTTCATATTAGGCATTCAAGGTCGATAACCATGAAATTTCACTAAATAAAGGCATAAAGCCTAAGGTGAACCTGATCCTCTGTCGGCAAACAAATAGAGTCGACATAATTCAATCAATAAAATATAATTGCTCATAAATATCTCGATGATGGCCGCGTTGACAAAAAATCTAACTGGAGGGGACCCAAGCATTACAAATGCCAACAAAATGCCCATAAAATTCAAAACTCTAAAAAAATATCAAAACCTAAAATTTTTAAAATTAAAATTAACCATCAAAATGCGTAATGAAAAACTCATCCGTCATTCACAACAATTTGCCTAGCTGGACAAGTTTGAATATCACTCTAGCTCACAAAGAGCTGATGTCTATCGAGAATATTACTAGGATTCAATTTCAATCCGTCCCCTGCCAGTTAGGACTTGTCATTGGTCTTCTAATTGGCGGTTTGGCCGGATGGCTTTGCAAAGAAACTGTGGCTTAGCTAGATCGGCTCCACATGGTTAACGATTATGATCGTGACTCTCTGACCTAGTGGCTTGGTCCAACGACTCCACTATATTACAGTTACGGTTATGACTCGTATGCCCTCTAATGGCTTCAAATATTTGAGATATGAATCAATATAATATAATCGATAGGGCAAAAAGTCATTTGTTAGCTAAGGTGGATTCAAATTTATCCTTTTAGACAAATATTCACTTAGATCTTCAAGGTTCCCTTGGACGACACAACCCATGGCTTCCGATAATGATCCTTTTGTCAGGTTGGGTTGACTACCTCCTCTGACTAAGTAGATCAGGGACCATAATGATCTGGGACGACAAAACCATGAGATCTTGATCGGGCTCATCATCATTCCCCCACCATCTGCTTTAAGTGTTAGGTGATAAATTTTTTAATTTTAAATATTAATTATCTCAAATACCTAAATCATGATGTTACTGCGCATCAGATACTACGTATTCTCTATGTATATGCTTTGACGACTAGCCTTAATCGAAACTTCTCTGTTGCCATCGAGATTGGTAATTAACTATAGGGGCTTGTGCCTATAGGAAATCAGAACTCATATCATAAAGTTCTTGTAAAATGAGGGCGAAATCTCTGGGTTATGTCTTATTTCAAACCCAATTTGCCTTTTGAAAATTTACCTCACAATTTAATTCGTTAAAACTCTTCTTAAAGAGGAGAGGCCGGGGCGTGAATTTTCGGAGCTCATATACATCTACTCTCCTAATTGTGTCATCGGAATGCTGATGTTTTATGTGACCAAATCATCTAAAGCAACCCTCTCTAATCTTATTTTCCATTGAAGTTAACTTGTTCATGTATATACTTGTTTCACATTTTTTTCCGGAAGTGTAAAACCACTCATCCACCTGAGCATCCTCATCTCTACGATAACTTAATTTTATGCTTTTCTTTGAATGACCAACATTTTGCATCATAAATTATTGTAGTTCTCACCATTATCTTATAGAATTTTTCCTTTTAAGAGATATATTTTTTATCACACAGTATGCTCAATGCATTCCTTCAATTCAATCATCCAACTTGAATTTTACTAATAATATCCCTATCTATTTCACCATCGCTTTGAGCAATAGACTGGTAGACCCGAGTTATCTAAAACGTGTATTCTTTTTAATGACTTAATCGCCCAAAGTCACAACCCCCACTATATCTATTACTATTAAAATTACACCATATATTTGATTCTAGATCTACTCAAATGAAATCCTTTAGAATCTAAGGTTGACCTCCATAATTAAATTCTTATGAACCATTCCAAAAATATTAAGATTTAATTGTAAGGTAAAATTTATTTATTTCTGCTTAATTTATCTAAACCAAACAAAATCTTAGGTTCTGTTTGGTTGTTTATTTATATATAGTGAAGATAAAATAAGTGAATATACAAGCAATAAACTTCTGAAGCTTAAGCTATTAGTTGAGTTAAGCCTTTTGGTTGGTTAAAAAGATAAGTTGAAATAAAATATGGGAAAGGAAGAATCTGGAAGTCAAGCAAAGCAAGCTTAAATGGGTTGGAGGTGTGCTTGGCTTATCCTGTTCTACCAGGAGGAAAAGTTGGGCTTAGCATAACCAAGAAATGACTCAAAATTGCAGTTGAAAGGAAAAGAAGCTTAAGCTAATTTAGCTAATAAATAAGCCTGGCCCTCAAAATTGCAGTTGAAAGGAAAAGAAGCTTAAGCTAATTTAGCTAATAAATAAGCCTGACCCTAACAACTCCTTAGTCTTGTCCCGATCAACTATTTCATCAGAAATGGCCTGTGCTCACTTTTTGCCGCACTTTGCAGGATTATAAGCAATTACTTGTAGCTTTTTCCACGCATGTTGTGATGCGTATTGTTATACATTATGCATTCTGCGTTTTGATGTTCATATATGACGCACTCTGCCTATGTGCCTTCTTTTTGAACCATTCTTCTGATTTTATTGAAATATTCTTTTGGACAGAAGCATAAACGAAGCAGCTCCAGCTGCAGCTCTAGGCAATGCTGTGTCAAATGTCCCAGATATGGCTGTTAGCCCTGCTTCAGCAGCATCAAGCAATCACTTCCCTTTCACACCATCTGAAATCTCAGGTATGGGCTTGGATACAGCAGCTCTCGATGCAGCCTTCACATCTGATGTAGCAACAGCTGGAGGATTACCAGATGGTGGTGTTGGATCTTCAAGGGACTCCATCAGATCCTTGGGCCAACTATGGAACTTCAGTCTTTCAGATCTGACAGTTGATTTAACAAATTTGGGAGGTAAAATTTTGATAATTTAATTTCAAGCATCTCTCTGCTTTCAGCTAGGATGCATTTCTTATTATTCCGAATGTTTTGTCATGCTATGATTCATTTATATTTCTCTGTTGTGCAACTCTTGGTGATAATTTATGCTATGTGCATTTATTTGTGATGATTGGCGATCTCTCTTGTTCTGGCATGAAAGGTTTTTTTTAGGGTTTACTTGGTGTGTATTTGAATCTATGTTAGACTGGTCCGCTAGATCGGTCCAGCCGGTCCATACGTGACTAGCTTGTGGGCAACAGAGGCGGAGAAGTTCCGTCTCCTGCATATGCCGATCAAACCCCGTAGTCCAAAATAGCATATTAGGAAGGTTTTAGGAGAAGTTTAGGAGAGAAATTTGAATGTAGGGACTGTTTAGAGATTTCCTTTTAGATTGTATGTATTAAATAGTTTGTTTTCCTAGGGTTATGGCATATTGAATTTGGCTGAAATTTGAGATCTCTCTTAGGTTTTGGGCTCTAGCGGCATCTAGAGATTTGGGAGAGAGATCCTCCTCTCGAATAGATTGTATCTTGGTATTTTCCATTTCCATTTCATCAAATAATACAAATTATCTATTATTTTCCTAGTTTTGTATGAATTTTTTGTGGAGAATTCTCGCTCTTTTTCAAAGATTGATAGGATTTACTTGAGATCTACAAGTGCTTCCTATCAATCTGCTGCTAAGCTAAATTGTTATAATGATATCTGAGCTGAATCAATTCATTTTTTTTTCTTCTAAATTTGGTTTGGATTTGTAGAAATGCATCTTACTTTGGCTCATCAGTAAAAATGAGCCGCCTTCCACAATTATTTGCAATTTATGTTTTTTACCTTATAGGCGGTGCCCAAATGAACAAGTGTTTTCACTCCTTATGCCCTTAGCCTAGTCCTTTTTTACTTGATCGGCGTTGCTTATTAGTAGGGAGGAGGAGCTTGTTAATTAGTGAGGGAAATTTTGTCATATTTCACTTTAGATTGAACGTTCACGTCCTATACACAATTAGCTTAAAAGCTAAATTTGCCTTGAGATAATGCTATGATGTTTATGTTAGTCTTGCGTATTTAAAATAGTTTGTCAGACTAGATTGGAGAGGGATCTTCCCATGTTTCGTACTTTTGGAGTCTTGGTCCTGATTGTGAAACATATTGGCTAGGTCAAGAGACGTTCTCCTTGAGGTTGCCTTCACTGCTTGATCCTTAGCTTAGGATTTTCTATATAGCTTGTTATTAATGATAATGTTAACCATTTTGTTATTATCAAATTAACATCATCATTTGGTTTTTCTCACTTGTTTGTGTTTGGTATTATGGATCTTCATTTTTCATTCGTTTATTATATTAAGTATTATTTGAGGGAATATGTTACAGAGCATACGTTACGATGTAATACTAATTTTTCTCAAAATAAATTTGGATTCATATCGGGTAGGTGTACTATGCAAGCTATATATTTATTGAGAGGTTTGACGGAGAAGTATAGAGAGAATGGGGAGGATTTATATATGATATTTATTGATTTAGAGAAAGTGTATGATAAAGTTCCAAGAGAAGTGCTATTGAGAGTTCTACAAAAGAAAGAGATTAATAATGCTTATATTCAAGTCATTAATGATATGTATGTAGGAGTTGTTGTGTTCAAATGCAAGGTGTTTTGATCAAGTATTTTGTTATTTCTGTTGAATTACATCAAGGATCAGCCTTAAGCCCATATCTTCTTTAGTCATGGATGCTCTCACTTGACATTTGCAAGAGGTTGTACCTTGGTGTATGCTTTTTGCTGATGATATTCTTGTTGTTGATAAGACTAGAGATGGAGTTGAAGATAAATTTGAATTATGGAGGCCAATCTTAGAGTCTAAAGATTTTCATTTGAGAAGATCTAAAACCAAATATATGGAGTGTAATTTTAATAATAATAGTTCTAGTGGGGGGATTGTGACTTTGGGTGATCAAGTCATTAACAAGAGTACACATTTTAGATATATTGGGTGTATTGTTCAAAGTGATGGTGAAATAGATGTGGATATTATTAGTAGAATTCAAGTTGGATGGTTGAAGTGGAGGAATGCATCGGGCTTGTTGTATGATAGAAAAGTCCCCCCTCAAACTTAAGGAAAAATTCTATAAGATGGTGGTGAGACCTGCAATGCTTATGGTGCAGAATTTTGGTCATTAAAAGGGAAGCATAATATTCAGGTAAGTGTTGCAGAGATGAGGATGCTCTGGTGGATGATTGACTTTTTTAGAGGCGAAATGAGCATACACATGAAAAGGTTAGAGTAGCTCCAGTTGAAGATAAGATTAGAGATAGTTTCCTTAGATGGTTTGGTCGCATAAAAGTAGATGTATTAGATTTGGCTTATGTTAAGAAAGTTTGAGGTAGACCTAAAAAGAAATAGTTAGAAAATATTAAAAATGACCTTATTAGATTTAAATGAGAATTTGGCTCTTAATATGACACAATATAGAAAAAAAGATTTATGTAGCCGACCCCACATAATGGGATTAAGTCTTGTTGTTGTTGTTGCTATATATATATATATATGTAAGTGGATATAAAACCAATTAAAAATATAAGGTGGATATATATGTGAAATTTACTTGGATCAACAAATCATTAGAGTTGTGTACACTGAGATTGGTGCCTTAGACCACTTGTTTAAAGAACAAAATATATATTTCTTGAGCCTTAGGGGTGCATGCGCACTCTCTCTCTCTCTCTCTATATATATATATAGAGAGAGATGCATATGTACATTCATTACACAAAGTTCTATGAATTCAATGTCAAACATTTCATACCATCTGGTGATCCGATGATGCGCCGTCGCCTCCTTGTTCGAGGTCGAATCCTCTCCACCTAGGGGAGGATGATGTGGCTATCACGGCAACAACAATTGAAATATAGTTAGTTTCGGTGGTTGGTTTTGTAATTGTACCCTTCTTTTGCTACTTCTAAGTTTCCCTTGAAGGCAGGTAGGTTAGAAAGAGTGGTGACTGCCCGTCTTGCTGCCACCCCTATAGATTGCCCATGTATTCGGTCCTATATTGCGTTCCCTATAACACTTTAATATTTTATTCCTTGCACTCATATTTGATCTATAGGTGGTAGACATGAAATATTAAAGTTTTGGATGTTAGATATATAAATAACATGATCTAAAGTGGTATGTATGTAAATCTCCCAAATAAAAAATAATGCTGCTCATCTTTGATTCAGCTAGAGCAACATTTTTTTTCCTGCTTAATACTTATATATATTTTTTTTCTTTTATGTATTTTTCTGCTGTTATGAACCTTGTTACAGATCTTGGACCTATTGGGAATTACCCTGGCTCACCCTTCCTGCCCTCAGACTCAGACATCCTGCTTGACTCTCCTGAACCGGATGATATAGGTAATTGTAGCTATTTCTCTCAAATTTCTTCACTTCTCTGCATGAAAATACATCTTCATATCTTCATATTTGATGAAATTTCCCCCTTTCCTCCATTTTATCCAACAAAATGGAGAAATTATTATGTGTGGACGCCGAACCCAGTTCTATATCCGTAGACCAATCAGAATGAGTCACGTCAGCAATACCAAGCGCGGTATACCGAGCCATGGTACCGATGTGATTCATTATGGTGGTCTCCGAACGACATTTAGCATCCGCACAGAATTTCTCAACAAAATGAGGATTCAATTGATATGTGTCCCCCCCCCCCCCCCCCCCCCCCCCCCCACCCCCCCCCCCCCCCCCCCAACACACACACAAACAATTCATATATTGTTTCTTATGTTTGGTGTTCATCTGTTTTTCAGTTGAGGAATACTTTGCTGAGATCAACAATGGGCCATCCTCTCAGTCAGATGAAGAGAGATCATAGTTGTCAGAGCTACTTTTTAGGTTTCATTTGGGATGGCTTTTTTATTGCTTTTTAAAACAGAGTTTTAGTTAAAAATTTTAATTTTTGTATTAAAATTTTGTTTTAAGAAACAATAAAAAGCCGTCACAAACAAATCCTTAGTGTGCTATCTCGCTTTGAAATCAAATACAATAATCAGATCAGTGCATCAGTCTATTCTGAACTAAAGCTTGATTAAGCTCTCCTGTTTTCTATCTTTAATCCAAACAATTTTGTGATTGAACATTTGAGTAATTGAGAGTATTAGACAAATAAAGAGAGAATAAATGCCTGTCTGGGCAGTCATGTTGTAGTTTTGGTTTCCTTTCTTTCAGCATGTGTTTCTATGTAAATTGATTGTGAATTGGGCAATTATGGGCATCGAATGCGGATCACACGGGACGGAATTTTTCTGTCGACCAACGAGCTACAGCTCGATCCGTATATAAGGTCCTTTGACTGTTAAATGAAAATTAAATTAGTTCTTTTATTGAAGTATTTAGGTTCCTATTTAAAAAATAAAGCAACTAAACTGAGATTTGAAAATAGTTTAAAATCATTTTAATTCTTATCTTAATAAGATAGATATGAGCATCTTCAATGGGAGAATAGCATTTTCCAGAAGAATTTTGCACCAAAAATTTCTCGTTAAATTTTTAATTAAAAGTTATTTTAAAAGGCAATAAGAAAGCTGTACTAAATAAATGGGACAGCTTTCGTACTGTTTTTTAAAATGATTTTTTACAAAATTGTTTTAAAAAGCAAGAAAAAAAAAACGTCCGAAATGAAGCCTTAATCGACCGATAAAATGCTTTGTTTTTAAAGTTGAGAGCACATTTGTAAAGCATCTAAAGATGGACAGTTTTTTTTACAGCTATTACACTAACTAATAGATTTAGCTGTGAATTTTTTAAAAGACAAGAAAATAAACCAGCAAAAATCTTTGTCAATCAGGTCATCTAACATTCACTGACATATAATAATAACAAAACATCTCGACTTTGTTACATCTCTACCAACTCCAAGTGAAAATCCACACAATGGAGAAATTATTCTGTATAGAGTTCGGACGGAAAGTTTCCGTTCGGATTGTGTGTACAAACCAAACTGTGTACAAAAAGTGTATACAGTATGTACGCTTACAATCTGGATGAGAATTTCTGTCCGAACTCTACACGAAATAATTTCCCCACACTGAGAATGAACAAGAAAGCACAATCTAAAACAAAAAACTAACAAAAAATCATTGTTATTTCAAAGCTAAATCAAGAGCTTCAAACTCCACCTCCACCACCTACTAGAACATCCTTATAAGGTTTTGATTTTGCCCCACCGTTGCCACCACCGACCGATGGATGCGTCGGCATGGGGGCGGTGGAAGCCGGCATTGACTCTTCAGAGGATTGATCGCGACGTCGACTCCCTTCCAAGATTAAGGGCACCCTACCCTCCCTCTCCCTAATGAGCCTATCAAGGGCACCACCTCTAAGGCTCTCTAGTCCACCTCTATCCATTTGTTGCATCTTGAACACTTTTACTACATTCATTAAGCCTCCAATTAGAAATAACAAGCTCCCAAATAGGCTCAACCAGACCCAATTCTCACCCTGCATGTTAAAAAGATTTTGCATTAGATAAAGGAAAATCTTTGTATCAATTAGCAATGGTAATTTGTAATACAAGTATATGATTAATTAATCTCGATATGTTTTGGTGAATCTTTTTCAATGTTTGTTTTATATAGAGGTATTATTTTGAGTAAAAGGTTTGAATTTGACCAAAAAGCATTTTTAACCTAAATAATTAACTCGAATCTGATCGGTTTATGAAATGAACAGGAAAAAAAATCACCCGAAAATCAATCAAATTTGAACTCGACCCGACACAACATAATAAGCACTTGATCCATGTTCGATTAGTGTCAATCTAAAGAGAAATTATTCTGTGCAGAGGCTGGACGCAACTCTATGTTCGGAGACCAACCAGAATGCAACACGTTAGCGGTACCAAACCGTAGTTCCGAGCAGTACGGAGCCGCGGTATCAAGCGAAGGGGTGATGTGGCGCATTCTAATTGGTCTCCAGACGGTGTTTGACATCTGCACAGAATAATTTCTCCAATCCATCACAATTTTTGATTTAAATATGCCACATCAAGCACTCCTAACTCCAAATTTTTTGATAGAAACAACTCAAGAATCAAAGAAAATTGAAGATCCAAATCTTACCACAAGCTTGAAGCTATGATGATGAATCTGTCCAAAGATCTCATATCTGTTAAAGATCCCTCCCACCAAGAACAGCAAACTGCCCATTAGAAATGGAATCTGAACACTCTTCTGCAGAAGCTGGAGAAGACCGTTGGATCTCTCATAAACCTGGCACAAATCATGAACCGAACCCAAAAGCCAGAAAACCGGACCGGCTATCAACAGGTTCACAGCATGCTTCTCCAAGCTCCAATTATAATGCCCTCTCTCCATCTGAAAATCATCAATCATAATTCATATAAAACAATAATCATATACTTTATTTATATTATCAATAAAAAAAACATAAGATAATTAATTAATGCCTATTGATTAATCAAAATTCTATAATTAATTTGATCATTATCAATTTAAATCGTTAAATTTAATTTAATAAGAGTATAATTTACATAATAATTAATCAAATTATAAATTGCACTCATTCAAATTAAATTCAAATTTTTTTGGGCCAAATTTTCAATTAAAAAAATTAATATTGGGTGATTTTTTTAACATATTTTAAAATTACTATATTGATACAATCAAAATTAAATTTTTAGTTATATATAATTAAATAAAAAGTTTAAAGGGATTTTAATGCATATAATGCACAAAAAATAAATATATTAAAAATTTGAAATATCTAATATCTCAATATTTATATTTATTAATAGAATATTTTAGCTTCTTAATTATTTCAAAATATATACATTAAAAAATGTATTTGATATTTTACCTACCAAAAATTAATATTAATAATACAATTTTGCAATATATAATTATTTATTAATTAAAAACCTATCAAAAGAAAACTTCTTGCATAAAAAACATCTCTCATATGAAAAAACATAAAAAAAAATCCTAAAATGCAAAAAAAATTGTTTGTTTGTAAAATTACAAAATTACCTGTGCCAGAAGGAAAATTACAGCAACGGCGGTGAGGATATCGCCGACGAAGAGTACGATCGGAACAGCAATCTCCACCAAAGCCAACTGAGCGTCGAACTCAATCAACGGGAGAGAGAAATCAAAGCCGGTCAGATGAGCAATGAGATCATGAGCGTTGACGGCGGCGATCAGAAATAAGCCGATGATGATGACGGCGAGGCCAGATCTGCCGTCGAATCCCGTCGGGGATTGCTGGGCTAAGAAGCCGCCGAAGAGGAGGACGGCGGCGACGATGTAGATTCCGGCGTTGGCGTATTCCCACCGGTTTCGGGCCGTGGGCGGGCCGTAACTGCGGAAGTCTCGGGCCGTGGATAGCTTTGCCATTGGTTTTTTGTTGGGTTATGGAAAGAGGACTTACTTCTTTATAGTGAGAGAGTGAGAGAGAGAAAGAGAGAGAGAGAGAGAGAGAGAGAGAGAGAGAGAGAGAGAGAGAGAGAGACGGACAGGTGGTGGGGCAGTGGATTACGTGGCGGCATGCATGGGACTGAAGGAAGGTTAGATGCGTTGATTGCGATGAGGCATTTCGAGCTTTTTTTCAGATTTTTTAAAAAACTAATTAAAAATAATAATTTTTTGGGGAAAATTAAGGGTAGAGCACATTTCATTACTAAAAAATAAAATTATAAGTGTAGAAAATTACAATAAAAAAAGAGGAAAAAAAAAATCTTCATGAACAACAAAAAATGAGCTAAGCTAGACTATATATTCATAATAATAGAGTATAAGAACAAAAGACTTACAGCTAAAAAAGAAATGAATAAAATAAAAAATAATAGAATAAAAAACGTAAACTCCACTAAACAAAGACTCAGATAGATAAATTGTGATGATCGTTTAGAATTTGTACGGGGCAATTCCCCAGGTTGCCAAAGAGGCCATCCAAGGGGAATGTGTCTGGAATTAAGTGATTATCTTCATCGTCCATGGCAAACCAAAATCCCTCTAGACTGTAAAAATTTCTAAGACCTTCATCATATAATATCCCACAGGGTAGCAACAACAGATAGTTCCTGGAACAGAAAAAAAAGAGCAGTAAGTCCAATAAATGGCAGACAACCAAATGAAGAGAAACACCATATTTGTCCATAACCAATAATATCTTTAAAATTCTGCCAAGCCTTCCACTAATATGCGGAGTATAAACATCATTTTTAATGATGAGAGAAATATTGTCAATATTAGTGTTGCGTCCAGGAGTATTCGCGGCGGTAGAGAAATATAGAGTTTAATGTCTTAGCGTTGTACGAAAATCCGGCGCAATCAGATAAAAAGAGAGGGTGCGTCATCCATTAAAGACACCAATATTTTTACGTGGAAAATTCCTGAATAGTGGGAAAAACCATGGGGTCTGGCCCAGTATAAATGATTCCACTAGTATTATAGTTGATTACAAATGAGGTCATTCCTCAGGGGAAGGCCTTAACTTGATGTACATCTTATTAGACATTGATAATAATGCAAGTATAAAGTAATGATAAATATATTGATATAGCATACTAATATTATTGATAGGTAGCTATACATGACTTAATGATGGATAGAAGTATATAATAGAATCATAAACATGAATATACCTTATAGATAACTGATGTTTGTTTCACTACAACACATGTTATAGATTAATAAGCTTTTAACCAATTTTATTGTAGATTGATACACACCTTTTTCTTAGTAAAAATATCTTATTTTACTGATCACATTGATTTTTTACTATTGATTGATATTGTTACATATATTGTTTACCATCCATACTTATTGCTTATTGATTGATATTAATTGAAACTAGAGCATACATATTAATTCTTTTACCTTGTATTGAATGCAGTAATAGGATTTTGATAATTTGCTGGGCTTTATAAGCTCATTATGTGATTTTTGTTGATTTCATGTTTGTAAAGGGGTAAAGACTATATGGAGTGAGGCTGATCATTATTTTTAATTTTTTTAATGCTATGTTCTATTTTTTTGTAGTTGGGAGCTTTAAATATATTAGATTGATATTATTAAAATCTCATGACTATTTTAAATTATATTTTAAATGAATGAATATATATAAATATTTTGATATATATGATTTTTAGTTACTTTTACTGGATTTATTTGAACTGGTAAATATTTAGAGACTCATCAAATTAATTAAAAAAAAAAATATAAATAGATAATTCTTTCAAATTTAGATCTTTGGTGTTACAATTGCTAGCCATTGCCATCACCGGCCGCCACCACTAGCTGACAACCACCATAGTTGCCACTCACAAATAGCCACCACCACCACTGACTGCTAGTTTCCAGCCACCATTGTCTACACCTACAAACATCACTACTTGTCCCTGCTAGATGCCATTGCCATGTTTATCGACTGTTGTCACCATCTTTGGACTTTACACTAAATTTATTTTACTTCAAAAAAAAAAAAAATCATTAGTTTTTATTTTACACTCATCCAAATAACACAAAGGTATTCTTTTTTACACTGCATTTTTTTATATTGTATTTCTTTTTTAGCTAACTTAATAACCCCTAAGTTAGATTATAGGAGTTCTTATCAAATCTAGGTAAAATTTAATCCTAAACATGCTAGGAATTATGGATTTCAAGGTTGGCTAAGATTTGTGCTAATAGAGTCTATGGATTTTAAAAAATATCTTGGATAAGGAGTAATAAATTAGTATAGGGAGATAAACCATTAATGCTTTAAGGCTCACAAGTCACAACTCTAGTCTAATGAACCTAAGGTTCAACATCTCTCTAAAATTAAGATCAACATCTTCATCAAATAATTGGTGGTGCCCAATAACAAAATGATAGTGCATAGCCTTAATGTTGAGAGAGAAGAAAGACGATCCACTCTCTAACTATATACTATACTAGCTCAACCTTAATATGAAAAGTGAATCATAGCTAAGTGAAGACCATGTCATCACCATTCTCTTAAGAAATGTAGGTGTTATTGTAACCCTTTTTTCTTAAAGAGTTTCATAATTAAGACTAAGAAGCTATTACACAAGGTTTCAAAGTTGTAGGAAATAATATCCTTAGTTCTTGCTAAACAATATTAAAGTTCATGCGACCTTTCCATCTCAAAACTTATCTAGCTTTCTACGTTATTATATTTGATCTTCAATTGAAATGGGTCAAACTTAAATTAAGCATAGCAAGAAAGTAACACAAATGGTACAACTAACCATTCTTTGCTAACTTGAGCACTTCTAGTCTAGCTTTTAGCTAGTCTTGTTCAATTGGATTTTATATTATTCTATTCCACCAACTTATGCTTTAATAACTTGAAAATTTCTTTTATATGTATGTTTTAGAGCATTCCCTTTTAGGAGAGGATGTTGCCATCATCAATGATGAACATCTCTATTGCACATTCTTTAATTTTTTTTTTCTAATTTATCTCTTTAAATACAAAATTTTATAGCAACCATTAAATGTATTTTTATATTTTTTATTTTCTTAAAAATAATATTTGCTAAATACTTGTTGCGTCCTAGAGTATTTGCGGCGGTAGAGAAAATATATAGTTTAACGTCTTAGCATTGTACGAAGATCCAACACACAATCAGATAAGAGAGAGGGTGTAGCATTCATAAGAGACACCAGAGTTTTTACATGGAAACCATTGAAAATGGGGGAAAACCATAGGGCCTGGCCCATTTTGAATGAATCCACTAGTATTTATAGTCGATTACAAATGAGGCCCTTCCTTGGGAGAAGGTCTTGGCTTGATGGTTTAAATGTACATCATATAGAGCGCATTACATAGTGGGAGTTACAATAATATACATGTTTGTTTGGTTGGAAGGGCTGTAGTTGGCACAAGACGGGGGTCCGAAAGACCGTAGTTGGTAGGAGATTGGGGTCAGGAAGACCATTGTCTGTCGATGTAGGTCGGAAGGACCGTAGTAGGCGACAGAGGTCGTGAGGACCGTAGTCGGCAGGAGACCGGGGTCTGAAAGAATGTTGTCTGATGATGGAGGTCGGAGTGACCATAGTAGGAGACGGAGGTCGGGAGGACCCTAGTCGGCAGGAAATAGGAGTTTGAAAGACCGTAGTAGAAGGGTGGTACTTCAGTAGAACTTTGGGCGTTAGGTGGTGGCCTGGTAGAGCTCGGGGCCTCAAGTGACAGTATGGCGGATGTCCGAGCCTTAGGTGGTAGCCTAGTGAAGCACAGGGCCTCAAGCGGTAGTCTGGTGAAAGTTTGGGCCTCAAGTGGTGGTTAGACGGAGCAACGACGTCAGGCGATGTTCCGACAGAGGCGAGGGCCTTAAGTGGTGGTCCGGCGAAGGTGAGGGCCTCAAGTGGTGGTCCGGTGGAGCAACGACGTCATGCGGTGGTCTGACAGAGGTGAGGGCCTTCAGTGGTCGTTCGGTGGAGCAACGACGTCAGGAGGTGGTCCAGCGGAGGCGAGGGCCTTAAGTGGTGGTCCGGCAGAAGGCCGACAGTGGTGGACCAGCGGTGGTTCGACAAATCTCCGGCGGTGGTCCGGCGAAATTTCGGTGGTGGTCGAGGAGGCAAGGAAGCAAGAACGATCTCATATCTCTCTTTTTTCCTTAGGCTTAGGGGTCCTCCCTCAAGAGGGGAGGGAGCTCTATTTATAGATTTCTGGAGTGGCATAACCCGTAAATAGGTGAGAGATCAAGGGTAAATGGGGAGTGGTCGGATGAACAGCTGATGCTGAATCCCTTGATCATGCATCATTCTGTAGACATTTGAAGACCTTAATGATGTCGGAATTCGGCGATCTTGGGCTTGTTGGATTCTTCTCGTCGATTCGCTCGATTCGAGTATAAGTTTGTTATGTTTGAAAACCATTTGGTAATCAAAATTGTTGTTTGAAACTTCCAATAGTGCTTTGAGTCCTTGATTTGGACCCATTTGGGCTCGGATTGGGTTGAATTTGGTGTCGTTGTGTTTGTATTTTTTAGACGCTCAGTTTGACTGTAAGTTTACTAAAATCAGAGTTTGGATGGTCTCCGAATTAATTTTTGAAGTTTCCAACTTGATTTTGCATCGAAATTCGCGCCTTTTTAAGATAATTTTTTGACGACGTATCAGTTGCCCCCTATTTTCGGACATCGATGCTCCAGAAGTATGAAAATATATGTATCGACATTTCATATATGCCAAATCGCAAAAAATTACATTCCAAAATTAAAATTTTGCTCAAACTTGATCATAGAGGCCCTGTTCAATTTCGAAAGTGTTAAAATTGAGTCCAGAAAGTCGAAAAACATGTTCGGAGACCCCAAAAACGTGAAAATTGGACTGTCCGTGCCAAAAATTGGGCCTGGACACGTGTAGGTGGCCGAATCGGCCAGCCGTCTAGCGACGAGCGTAAGTCC